ATTTACTTCTTACCTTACTCAATTCTGTGGGTAGAGCTAGTCTGTAAGCCACTCTTCCCACCTTCTCCACAACTTTGTAAGGTCCGATGAATCGAGGACTCAACTTTCCCTTTTTTCCAAATCTCATGACGCCTTTAGTAGGAGAGACTCTGAGGAGCACTTTCTCTCCCACCTCGAATTCAGCTGTTTTTCTTCCTAGGTCTGCATATGATTTTTGTCTATCTTGCGCTGCCTTCATCATGTTCTAAATAAGTTTGATCTTCTCCATCGTGTCTTGCAAGTATTGCGGGCCTAAGACAACCTGGTCCATCATATCCCCCAACACAATGGGCTCCGACACTTTTGACCATAAAGAGCCTTGTACGGAGCCATCTTAATGCTCGCATGGTAACTGTTATTGTACGGGAACTCTATTAGGTCTAAGTGCTCGTCCTATGATCCTTGCAAGTCCAGCATACATGCTCTCAACATATCTTCAAGCGTCTGAATCGTCCTCTCGGTTTGACCGTCTGTCATTGGATGAAATGCGGTGCTTAGCTTCAATGTGGTCTCCATAGCAGCTTGAAGTTCCCTCCAGAATTGGGATAGGAATCTAGAGTCTTTGTCAGAAACAATATCTCGGGGTACGTCGTGATACTTCACCACATGTTTGATGTAGGCTTTCGCTAGCTTATCCATGCTCCAAGTTTCATTCATGGCAATAAATCTGGCGGTCATGGTCAATCTATCAACAATCACCCAAATCTTATCTTTCCCGGACTTCGTTAAAGGTAAACCCCGACAAAGTCCATCGAGATTGAGTCCCACTTCCATGTTGGCACCTTCAAGGGTTGCATGAGTCCCTTGGGCTTGCACCTCTCGGCTTTCACTTTTTGACAGTTTAAGCATCATGCCACGAACTCTGCCACCTCGTTTTTCATTCTCGGCCACCAGAAGTTTTGCTTCAAATCTTTATACAATTTGTCTCCTCTCGGGTGTACCGAATAGGGCGTGTTGTGTCCTTCTTCCATGATTTGCTTTTTAATGTGCTCACACTTCATCAGGGACACACCACCTACCCTTATAGCGGATACTCCCATCTTCATGCAACTGAAACGGTCCGTTTACCCCGTTCTTCATCCCGGCTTTGACTTGTTCAAGCTTCACATCTCCTAGTTGACCGGCCTTTATTTCATCAAAGATAGAGGGTAAAATGGTCATAGTGTATAACCGGATCTCGCCCTCTGTCACACCCCGGACCTACCCGGACACGTCAACAACCCGCTGTACAGTACGAATAGTCAACCGCAGTCCAACTCATCCATACTATACAAGGCGTCTTGAATACCATTTACACATAGTACATCCATAAACAAACATAATGTAAAACATTCATTTAAAACAACGGAAACATTTAATAAAAGTGTCTTAGCCACACTTTGGCAAACATGGGCATACAAGCCCCCAAATGATTATTCAAAAATAATATCCATGGGAATTATTTAATTTTTTTTCAAAATAGAAACGGAAGAAGCACGAACCAAGTCTTCTTCCCTTGATCTCCCCGAAGCAACGGGCGGTGGTAGCAACCTTCGAGTTCTACCTGAAACTGTGAGGTGGCCTCCTCCGTGAAGGGGAGGTCAGTACTTGGAAGCATTTGATTAAGATGATATAATTAGTCACTTATTCTATTTCAATAATTTTCCTTTTCCCCTTTTTATTTTATTATTCGAACTTATTAATTTAATAAATTAAGTATTCGAAGTAATCACACTTTGCCTTATTAATTCAGCCATTAATTTACTCTACTCATAAAATTAGTGAGGACGAACGAAGGAGAGGATGAACGTCGCAAAGGCTAAACAACCATTAATTTAAGGACGGACGTCCATAGGGACGAACGTCGGAGAGGGCTAAACCTTAAATGGTCCAAGGACGAACGTCCTGAGGATGAACGTCGGCTTTAATGTATCCGAATTTATAATCAATTAAACTATTCACCATTCGGGGACGAACGTCCTCTTTTTCTAGAGGACGAACATCGGGAATGCTAAACCCTAGGCAAAGCAGACCCAACTTAAAGGTTTCTTCGTAAGGGGACGAACGTCTTCTACCTCGTAGGGACGAACGTCTCCTTCCTCGAATGTTGTCTTCAATCAAATTATAATTAATTAAACTATTAAATTTTTATATCAACATTATTAGTGAGGACTTGCGTCGTCTCCCTCGTGGGGACGGGCGTTGTCTTCTCTCAAATTATTATTAATTAAACTATTCAATTTCTGAAGATGAACGTCGTCTACCTTTTGGGGATGAAGACATTGTCTTTCTCGTGGGGGCGAACGTCGCCTTCTCCGTAAGGGGACGAACGTCGTCTCCCTCGAGAGATCGCCATTGGTTTTATAACTGACGATCCATCCACTTTTTATTTTATTATTATTATTGCGGTTATAATATGACTCACCATCAGATCAAATAACAACTTCAATCCAGTCAACCTATTATTTCTATTTCTAGTTATAAAGAATATCCAGTCCCTGTATTATTTTTATCGTTATTAATCAGCCGTACATATTATTGTCATTACGTATCTAACCTTCTTCACTGAGACGCGGTAAACCCGAAAACACAAAGAACTTACCTTATTTGGAAGAGACGATTCCGCGTGGTAGGTTGTGAATGGTGATGTTCTGCAGCAGCTCCGGTGATCCCTTTTTGCAGTGCGACGACGGCAACGTGTTGCAGCGGCTCCGACGATCCCTTTCGGCGAGCTCCGGCACTCCACATTTGGCCTTTCTTTTCCAAACGTTCACCCTCTCTCTCATGTTTCTATATTTCTCCCTTTTCTCTTTTTCTCACTTTCTTTTCTCTCGTTTTCTCCCTGCAACGCAGGTTGTAGCACTTGGTTTCGTGCAGCGTAGGTAGATCGCAAGGCCGTTATTTATAGGAGTGGCCAAAGGTTCCAGCTATCCGCTTAGCTTTGACGTGCGAAGAATACGTAAGTCGTTGGCAATTCTTATCAATCCGCAAGTGTGTAGCGCAAGTCGTACACCGTAATTCTTATCTAGCAGGTTATTGCTTTTATTTTAATGTTATTAGTATTATTAATAATTAAGTTTGAAAAGTCCACTCCCCTCTATACTTGTTAAATATTACTTTAATTGTGTGTGTGGTACTATATAGTTCATCCGTATATGTGTATCTATTTTTATTTAATGCATAAGGTATAATTATCACACATATATAAATGTTACTTTTATTATCTAAGCCGAGATTTGATCTGGTCAACTTGATTATAAAAAAATGTTAATTTTCTAACATTTTATATTGAAAACGTTTTATCTGACCGGTTCGCCAGAAAATAACCCTTTTAAGGTTATTTGTATTAATATGGATTTTGGGGTATTAAAACCTTGTTAGGAACTTGTCTAAGGTGTTCCTAGTACTTTCACGGAGTTGAAAGAGTCACCGGAGTTATCACCGGAGTTTAACGAAGTTCGCCGGAGCTTCACCGAAGTTCAACCGAGGAGGGTAGAACTTATTAAATTTAATTCGAGGTGAATGGACGGCTTAATGTATTATAAATCTTGGGTTAAGTATGATATTGCCTAAATAAATGTTATATGTATTCATAATGATGTTTAAAAGAGATTAAACACATGATTAGCCAAGGTGATTAGGCTTATGTGAATAAAACTACATGAACATGCATGTAAAATGTATATAAAAACACATGTTGAACTAGACTCCGCTGCAACGACTTTGCGAGTAGAAGATCTCCGACCGTAATGTCTTGAGTTTTGAGCCAGTTCCGAAATTCAGCTCCTTGTTTGAGAAGGAGTTTTGTTTACGATACCCTTTTGACATGCAGCATTGATCATCCTTCTATCATCATCACATGGACCATCATAAAAGTATAGGATGCGGTCTTGCTCCGAATAGCCATGATATATACACATTGCACAAAATTTCTTGAATCGTTCCCAATATTTGTGGAACGACTCATCATCTTTTTGCTCCACATTGCTAACCCCTGCCCACCCGTTCTCGTCACCCCTTGAACCTACCCCTACCTAGCCCCATGTATCCTTAACCCTACCCCTTCCCCTACTCGTACACGTACTCTTACCCCCACTACACCGCCCAACCCCACCACCACCTCGTCCCACGTAGGAGTGGGGTAGGGGTATGGAGCAGGGGGGTACGAGTAACAACGAGGGTAAGGTACGAGCCACGAGCCATGCGTTGGGTAGGGGCTTGGGGTTAAGGGTAGGGGTAGGGTAAGGGTATGAGTACAAGATTGGGGCAGGGGGTAGGAGTGGAGTAGGGTAGCGGCATGAGTAGGATAAGGGTAAGGTAACATGTAGAGGAGTAGGGGTAAGGGGTAGGCGGCCATGTGTACACATGAACGTATGTGATTCTATATATTATTTAAACCATATTTTAAAGCATTAGTAAACATAACCTATATCACTCCTTATTTTAAGCATATAGAGAGAGTATATACAACTATACTAAGGTGGGTGTCCTCGATTATGATTTCATAAGATTTCAAAGGATTATGATTTTGATGGATTTTTATGGAATTGTATAGAATCCATGATATTCTAATGGAATTGTATAGAATCCATGGAATTTGAGATCTCCTCTCACCAGTCTGAGAACTTCAAAAACGGCCCATGAAAAAGACATGCGACGGCTATCACGGATAAGTCCGAAACGAATTCACGACCAAGAGTCCGAAACGGGCTCAGGCTTGAAAGCGGATTCAACAAACGATTCACGACCATGGCGTTAGAGTGACAGATTCATATTAATAGAGTGAGGCTCTCTATTTAGCAGGTAAAAGATTTGAAATTTGTTTGTCACTACCAATTTGCAGGTAAGTTCTGGTAAGCCATGACATTAGCAGTGATGTGAGCAATAATAAATAGAGAGAGAGGATGATTAATGTATAGTGGACCACTCTCTTTTCCTTCTCCAAATAATTTGCAGGTAAGTTCTGGTAAACCATGACATTAGCAATGAAATGTTTTATGCATAGAAATACACTCGAATCCTTTGAAATTCATTAGAACAAATAATAATTGAAATACATGAATGAATATGTATGACACCCTTAAATACTAAAATCTTTTAAAATGCATATGTATGACACCCTTAATATCCAATGACCGCATAGGCTCACTCTCCGAGTCTCCTGTATCTCTCCGTTTGTGCTTGTGCAGGGAAAAGGCCCTAGAAAAACCTATCACATAGCTGCAACCAGCCTATCCCCGGATTCACCTCTGCGCAACTGCAATTACTATGCGTTTATTCTGTCTGGTGTGCGTCTGACGCCACGCGATCTTTTCCGAGGTACGGACCGTCCCACTCACATAATATTTCGTTTATAATGAATTGATATATATGTGTATATATATGTATGTATGTGTTTGTGTGTTTGTTTAAAGATATGTAATATGTTTAGCCATCGGATTGTTTCAATGTGCGGTTACTGAACAAGTACACATTTAAGGGTTTACTAAGAGAATGAACTCGATGTTTTTCAATTCCAAAGACAATGTCCTGTAGTCTTGTCCACTGAAACAACTTATATAATTTATTTATTGAAGTGCAGTTATTAACTTGGAACTCTTAATGATTTGGGTAGCTGAACAAGTACATTCTGTTGAAAACTATAGAGGAGCGAATACCAGTCTGATGATACCTAGAAATGGAAATGCAGCTCACTTTGGGAAGTGATGCAGATCTCCATCTTAGAAGCTCCCCAGAAAAGAAGGATGGGGGCTTTACTTTTGGACAGGTGAAATGTGTAGAAAAACTCATAGAGTCATCACAAGAACTTGCTTTACCAGAACGGATGATGTGCTCACAGGATCATGCTGTATTGGAGCAGGTAACAACATCCTTGGAAGATCATACCACACTTCTGCAGCCAGGTGTGTTATAAACATTTTGGCTTGATTTACTCTTCCTTTTACTATTATTTGTTCTTTTTTTGTGATTCAGTAACTAGCTCTTCCTTGTGGGTAAATTTCAACACAGCCAGAAGACAAACTCGGAAATGGGCTGCATGGACGCATGAAGAGGAGGAAAGTTTTTTCTCAGCATTACGACATGTTGGCAAGGCAATTTATTTATCAACCTTGTAACTCCATTTGGTTTCTTCTTTCTGACTGTGTTATGACACTAGAACTGTTATTTGCTACAGAACTTTGAAAAAATCACCAACCGTGTTCAAAGTAAAAACAAGGATCAGGTGACACCTCATACCATAATATGGGTTTATTGAATTAATATTGGGTAAATATAAGGCCTTTTTGCTCTTGTGGTTCCAGATGCTCCCACATCTGAAAACGCCAGACGTTATTTGAATTCCTTGGAAACCCCAGCCCACATCACCATTATTTCTTGATCCACTTTTTGCCAAACCACCTGGACAGTAGGCCCAATGTGACTTGTATCACTTAGCCAGACTTCATAATTGGAAAATGAGCACCAATGCACCATGAAGACTCACTCCGCTCGGCCAAAGAAAGTTTGTCTTAATCTATATGTTCTTCTGGCTGTGGCCATTTTTCCTTCAATTTTCCAGGTTAGGCACTACTACTATCGTCTTGTTAGGCGCATGAACAAGTTGTTGGGGCCAGACTTTTTCCTTGATGCCAAAAACTCGAAAGACACTAATGCTGCTATGTTGCGATGGTAACCAGTTTGTTTTTCATATGTATTGCTATATTTTTATATCTTGAAATTTGCAGTATCAGTGTAATTACCTTGTAACTTTATATATCTCCTTATGCTTTTCATTAATGATGTTCAAAGCCTTAAGCCAGTTAAGCCTATTGGTCAATTACCATTAACTTTACACTGTAGAAGCAATTGAACTCACATAGGCGATAATTAAAAGAAAAGTTGCCATACATAATATTTAAAAAATTACATAATACAATAATATGTAACAAATTTAATTTAAATTATATAAAACGTACAAATCTAAAATAAGATATTGTGAGAAAAATACATAAGAACTATATCAGTACAAAAAATAAAATAATTAAGCACAAGGCAAAATAAGGGAAAACAAAATATACTACTTCCTCCATCTAAATGTAAGTGTCAAACTTTTAGGGCTTAAATTAAGAAAGTGTGAAAAAATAACGACTTTACCCTCACTGATTAAATTTTGGGTAAAGCGTAAAGGGGTGGGGGTAAAGGGTAAATGTCAATTTGTGTAGATTTCAAATGGAAACAAGGTTAAAATAGGATTTTTAACCAAAAGTACTTGCCAGAAAAGGAATTGCCACTTCCAGTTCGGGACACTTCAAAACGGGAAGGTGTAACTTTCATTTTGGGACGCAAGGGAGTAATAACTTAGAACTTGTATTAAGTCCACTCACAATCCGATACTACATACATAACTGCGAAACAATTTAAAAATTAAAAAATAAAAGAAAGAGAGAACATACTTCGCGCCCACCTTGCTTGAAATCAGAGACTTCTACTTAGCTGGATTTAATTCATCCTTGAAAACCGGAGTGCTGATTTCAACATAATAATCCAACCTTGCTTAAAGAGCAGATTGACCATAAAGCAGTGTCCGTTGGAGCAACGTTTTCCGCGATGACCTACAAATGCTGCTTGTCTCCAAAGGCTACTTCCGAACTGAAAATGTAAACAGTAAGAGGTTGAGCCTATATATCACTTGTTAGTTACTAAAAATCTAACATCTTTCTAAGTCGGGAACATGGGTCGGTGAAAAACTTGGATCTGGCATCACCATGGCGATTGCATGATGCCTAATCGATGCAGCTGCATGCCTAGGAAACTTTAGACGAGTGGAACGAGCATTTTGCAACTTCACCACCACCACCATGATAACTATTGGATGAGATTTTTAATTTTTACTTTTATTTTTATGGCGGGATAATCGAAATCAGTTTCTGCTAGGTGCAGTAGACTCCCTGCAGGACTCTCAGTGAAATTAGTTTTGCGTATTGATGATGAGAACTATCCATGCATCGATAGTGGTTCTAATTAGCGTGCAAACAACATTAAACCTCCGGTGCTTTGAAGGGATTATGTGCTAAATAGTTAACTATATGTGTTATTGATAATTTGTAGGTGGTCTTTACTGGAAAAGTATAGCTGTAAAGCTTCAAAGCTTCACTTGAAGCCCCGAAGGTTCAAAATTTTCATTGAGACCCTGGTTAGTGAGAAACTATTAGTGTTTCCCATGAGTAAATAATGATCCACTCTGGTATTTATATGATTACTCTGTTTTGTATTGAAGGAGAATCAACTCTTGAAAGACCGAAAAAAGAATGTTAGAAGGTGTTTTTCTCAAGGGGAAAGCACATCAAGTGCCCCTATTTCTCTTCCACATCAAGGCAGGACTTCCGGTCATGATAGTCAGTCAGTCAAATTGGTCCTTCTTGAAAATCAAGACATACAAAAATTTGGGTCTGGAAAAGGATCATTGCTAAAACGCCATGTAAATATAAGTTCCAACAGTACCTCACATAAAGCATCTTCTCCCCCTCTTAAACCAGCTAGACATCGTCGAAAGATAGGTAAGTTAACCTATCTTAATTTGTTATGCTCATTTATGCTATGTCTTAGTTATACCGTTATACGTTATCTTACGGTCTTACATCTCACTGGTGTTTTCTCATGCGGACACAGTTTTGTTTAACAAACTAACTTAGAAGGCTGGAGCATGAAATCTGTTTTGGAGACAACCTTTGTTATTTTATTGGCTAGTACTCATCAAGTACTCACTACTTTGCCCTAGACCTGGCCAAGTTGTCTTTCTACTTTGAGCGACTCAAGGAGTACCGTTACTCAGCTAGTTACTAGGTGTTATTTAAAAGTGAAATATTGAAAATGAAAATTGAGCCTTTAAGAAATTAAAGAAAATAGGGACCTCGATATAATAAATCACTATTTTAAGGGTTGAATCAAAGTTGTTAAGCTCAGATCCAAGCACGGATCCAAAGGTGTCTAGGAGATCGTAGTTCGGATCGTAATTCAGATCATAAGATCTTAAAATCAGAGCTACCATGCAATATATATATATATATATATATATATATATATATATATATATAGATCTTAAAATCAGAGCTACCATGCAATATATATATATATATATATATATATATATATATCTGTGTGTGTGTACACTTTAATTTAAGACCATTTGAACCACAACAACAAAGCCTTATTCCCAAAAGATTTCGAGGTCAGCTAACATGAATCGATCTATGATATCGAAGCCCAATAGAAAAGAAAGATAAGAAAAATAAAAAGATGAGATAAGATAAAAAGGATAAGATAAAGATAAATATAAGATAAAAGAAAAGAAAAATAAAAGATTAAAATAAGAGAAAAGTGTCAAATTGGCCCTCATACTCTGTACAGAAAGTCAACTCAGCCCGCATACTTTAAGTTACGTCCTTGTACTATATAATTTTCGTCAAAACCAACTTTTAGCAGGTAACGGCCGATCAACTCGTTACTTGCTGATGTGGCGCACATGTGGCTGGCCACATCAACTTTTTTTTTTTTTTTTTTCCCTTTTCCTTTTCTTTTTTTCTTTTTCCCTTTTCTTTCTTTCTCTTCCCTGTCCACCATTTTTCTTCTCCAGGCTCGGAAAGAGTCACCGACTTGAACAATAGTCACAAAAAATGGAGGGTGCTTGGAAAATTAAACTTAAAATATGAGGAGGTGCGCCTATTAACGGTGACTTCAGATCTTCTAACCTCCTTCGACTCGTAAGATTGTCCAATCTCACAAGTGAATGCACGATCCTAACAACACTAGTTTTAATAATTTTTAAGACTAAATTTGTGTTTGTGGAAGAAAGTAATGTTGTTCCTGAATCAAATAATGATTAATTTTGGATATACAAAGTTAGGATTGATTAGTTGATGTATTCCTTATAAGGTTATGAATGTTAGTTGTAGTGGATTATTGTTTTTTGCTTTATGTGCATATTGTTTTTTCCTTATGTGCAAGACTTTTAAGACTAGTAGTATTAGAATCAACATCATCATCATCAAGCCTTAGTCCCAAAAGAGTTCAGGATCAGTTAACTTAAATCAACACATGAAGTCGTAGCAAGAAAGGTAGAAAGACAGGAAGGAAAAAAGATACAATAAGATAAACAAAGAAAAAAGATAAGAAATAAAAAATGATAGAAATATAAGATAAAAAGGATAAAGAACATAAGAAATAATAAGAAGATAAAAAGTTTTCGATTCATGTCATGTGATGTGACAAAGTGATATTATTGGCCATCACACGCCTACCACAACAACCTTCTCTTTTACCTACCCTCTTCCTTTATCTTGACTTGAGACAAATATGATACCAAAATTGATCTCATGGCGGAGTTAAAAAGAATATAAAAAGATAAAAAAGATCAAGAGATCAATCCTCCACATGAATATTATATCTCTACTTTGCTATCTCCAAAGTGACACTCTCATCTAACCCAAAAAGAATCATATCACTCTTGACTTCTCTAATCTATATTTGTTTAGGTCTCTCTCTCCCTATCCTCACTGTTTGTTCTCCCCATCTCTTAACTTGTTTAACTGGCGCATCACTCGGCCTTCTACACACATGTTTTCCCAAAACATTTGTGTGCAAAGCTTTGTTGGAAACCCCTCTTGAGCTTCCACCATTTTATCTTTGGCCCCACTTGTTTCCTAACACGCCTTCCATGCTTCTTACCTCCAAAATCAAGCACAAACGTCCTATTTTGAGTGATAATATTCTCAGCAAGGATAACCCTACATTATGTGTAGCTAGTTTTGAAAGTAGTCCGTACTAATAAGTAGTCAGTTTAGGTAATATTCGCTCCACATCTATAGGTGACAAGGTGAGAGTATCTCTTCTTGAAAGTTGTCATTATAACTAACTCATATGCCAAGGCAAAACTCAAAATGCTTTCCCCACTTCAATTCTAGTGCAACAATCATGTACCAATGGCAGACCCAAAATTTTAGCTAAGGAGGGGCACTGCTGCATGGATGAGAATGGCTCGGGTCGGATTGGCTGTGTCACTATTTTTTTTTTTGTTTAGTCCATGTAGATTTTTTGTGACCGAAAATAAATTATTCAATGTCAGTTTCAACCAATGTACATTTATGGTCAATAAGTTTAGTTTTGAACTCATTAAGACAATTATAAACAATGATATTAGGCTTTGTGATAAAAAGACATAAATTGGATTAGAAATGAACCGCCCTTGCACCATTTCTAATTTTTGATTAAAATTATGGTTAATTTTTCATACTAAAAAATGGTTAGGATTTTGGTTCCGAATTGGGGTCATGTCCAACGCTACATGTTGTGGCACGAAACTTGTTGATACTTGCTTGAAATATGATATTACCATGTCCAGAGATGAAGTATAGTTCACCTTTGCTATTCCATCCTTCAAAGGGTTTGAAACTAATTTATCATGAATTGATGCATTTTTTGTCAAGACTATGTGATAATTTTTCGTGGCAAACTGCTTTTGCACAAGTTTTCGTTTGAATTTGACAACGATATGTTAACCCGTAGAAGATCCTTGACAAAACTATTTGAATTTGTATATGGATTTTTACTCAAGATAAGACTCTTCAATCCGTAAAGGTCAATCTCACATCTGTCATATCTTTGAGATCTAACTTTGGACAAAGATAATACATTCTCAGCAAAAAGATTATCAATGTCACTTTTCAAAGAATGTGTAGTGAGAATGTCAATATCATGTCTAACTGCAATAAATTGCTCCATCACAACTCTGTGGTCATTTACATTTCTCATTACAATTATCTTATGCCCTTTCATTGAATTATCACATTCTCTAATAGTTATTTTTTGTGTGGATAAGTACTAATACCAAATTTCGGGTTCCAAAGCGGTGGCACTTGCCCCCCCAAGCCGCCCTTGGGTCCTCCACGGGCCATGAATACTCTCAAAACCTTCACGATTTGAGCCCACATGCTCGTGAGGTCGCTTCCTATGACCAACTTCCTAACCCTTGGCACTCGTCACAACACTCTCACGATCTTCCCATAATGATTGAATGTTAGATTTACCCACTTGTGGCACATAGACACTTACTATAGATAGGATCTCATAATGAGGTCATTTTGCCTAAAAGTTCCACCACATCCTCATTATAGTTACATGTCACAATAATGCCTATTTCCTTTCTAGTCTTCCGAGTACCACAACTTAAAACCTCTAGGATTGATCTCTCGTGCCTTCTCTCCAACCCACTTTGTTTCTTGCACACGCATAATCCTTATATTCCTGTGCCTCATAACCTTGAGCACCTAAAATGATCTTCCCGTAAGAGATCAACGTTCCATGACCCAAAGCGCAATATAGAATTCCACCTTTCATTCTTATCACCACCTCGATATGTATTCATATCGTGAACCTCACCTTTTTAACACCACCACCCTTGGGCATTGGGTGGTGTGTCGCTTCCATGGCCCAAAGCGCAATATAGAATTCCACCTTTCATTCTTATCACCACCTCCATGCGTATTCAAACCTTGAGCCTCACCATGCCCTCACATATTTAACACCACCCCATGCATTGGGTGGTGTGTCACTTCCCGACCACAATCTATTAACCTTACACACTTCTCAGTTTTCACCAAACTCGGGCTGTGAAGTGTAGTGCGCCCTTGTATATTTCACACCACCCCTGACAGATGAATGACACATCGTATCCGGTGACGAACTAACGGTAGCGATTTTCATATTTCAATTCATGTCATATGATGTGGTTGTACTATACTATTCGCCGTCACGTACTCATGTGCCTACCACATCACCGTCCTTAGCAAAATTTTATTTTCATAACACCAAAAAATGGTCACTTGGGACCAGCATGACACCAAAAAATGGTCAGTTGGCAAAATTTATATTCATAAGTGATCATAACATAATTTATTTACTTTTATGAGCAGTATTTGTATCGTACCGTCTAGTAGGATTCCATTTATGCCAACTTCATTTTTACCCAAAATTCCAAAAATGAATTAAATGATCCATTTTTTACTATTTCATAGTAAGAATTAGTTTTGGGCTTTTGCTTCAATATTACCGAATTAAAGCTGATTTCCAAAAATGTGACCATTTTTACAAAAGGTCACATATTTGGAAAAAAATGTCACTATATTTTTTATGTCACTCTCAGAATTTATGTCACTGTTATATGTCACTATCATATATTTATGTCACTTTTGGATGTCACTATTGCCGTTGGAAAATTTTCCAGCAACCTTTTCCGGCGAAACTGTACACCACCACCAGCGCCACCACCGGCCACCACTGGTGACCACCGTCAGTGACTCGTCTCCAACAGAAAGAAAACGAAAGATCCGGCCAGGTCACTGAAAATTAGATCCAGAATCTGCATATTTAAATCAGCAAAAATCGGAGCACCATCGCAGATATAAAATTGGAATCTGCAAAAATCGGAGCACCACCGAAAATCTCCACTCTCCAGTGCTTATCCAAATTCTGAATCTGCGAAAATTTGAAGTCACAGATGTCA